TGCAATATACATCAATAAAGATAGTAAGGTAAGTATCGATTTTATCGCCATGTTTGTGTACATTGGCTTCTTATGGCCTTGTTTCCATGAGGAGAGACATAATCGATCGGTTGTTTTCTTGTTATTGGTATCTTAACGACCTTGATTTAGCATATCAAAGCTCAAAGAAAAACAGAAAGATAAATTACACCGTTAAAGACGTCCGAACCCTGTCCGAGTTTCAACTAATACAGACTCGCATATAATTCTGTTATAATACAAAGAAGCTTTAACTGTACCTGGTGCCTTTTTTACACTCTGGATTTACCTTAGACCGATGTGCACGCGATTAGGGATATTAAATGGATAAGTGATGATGAATTCGAATGTGGATACACAGCGCCAATATTTTATATGGCTCAGTAGGTATATTCTTACGTACGCAGAATAATGTCCAGGGAAATAGCCACTCAGACTGTGACTGTTGACTCGGATGTTCATGGGATTTTAAATGATGTCAACCTCACTTGTGCCACACTAAGTACGCCTACGCAGCAGATTGAATGCGTGGACCACAACTCTGAAGATTTTGGTAAGGATGAAGTTGAACATTTCGTTAAGGATAAAAATACAGGTTTCAGTAAGGATGAAGGAGATGTCGAATTAGGCCTAGATCAAGGCGTTGAATCTGATGAAAGTGAGATACGTTTCCAAGATGAACATTTCGTTAAGGATGAAATTGAAGATTTCAGTAAGGATGAAGAAGATGTAAAGTTAGACCTAGATGACGGCGTTGAATCTGAAGAAAGTGAGATAAGTTTCCAAGATGAACAAAATCTTGAGTCAGATGTGATGCCTCGGACTCCAAGAGTATACATATATAACAAGAAACAAGTTCCTGAAGATAAATTAATGTTACCACCTCTAGTTTCTACCACAAATCCATTGCAAGCAGATATTTCAACTTACACAACTTGTCGCAGATACATAGGCCCACAATATCCTCCACCAGTTTCTAAAAAATTCTTAACAGGATTTTTCTATCCAAAACTATCGCACGCATCGTTCGAATACAATTTTTCGTCGGGACAGGATCAAGTAGGTGACGATAGTTTACATTTGCCAATTCTTGTTTCAAAGCAGCTTTCGTTTTATAACCGTAAGGGAGAAAAGGTACGGAACTTACGAGCGATTGACATGAGAACAGGACATTCAAATTTCAATCATGTATCGAATTTAAAGAAACAACCAGTTGCTAATCTAAAATGCAAGACTCCTGTACTCATTAGTCGCGAAAAAAATTTTACGTCATTAAAACAATCATGTGAATCGATTCCAGAAAGCATTCCTCCTTTCTTTGAGACCCAGCCGCTAGATGAGATATCAGCAGAATACGGTGAAGACAGCGAAGATTCCTTCGACGAAAATCAAGCAGCTCGTTTTAAAATCAATCGTTGGAAACTAGAAAAACAGGTAAAACCAACGCCAATTAACCTAGGCCTACTTCGGAGATCTCGCACTACTCTCGACTTAAATACAGTAGGCCTACCACGGTCTGCTTTCAGGTCAATTTGCCTTCCAAGAAACTTTTCAAATGACGTGACATCGTCAAAGGTGAAGCATATGGATTTGTTGAACATGACGATTTAAAGCAGATATTAGGCCTAATTACGGTATACACACACACACACACACACACAAATATATATATATATATATATATATATATATATATATATATATATACACACATAGATACATAGATACATACACACACACATGTAACAAGACCGTAAGAAAACCAAGTGCATTCGCACCCTGGACTGATGCACCACCGACCCTTTTGGCAGTGTGTACATGCATTTCTATTCACTCTGACTCGATTTTTATAAATCAATCTATCACTTTAAGTGCATTTATCAATTTGCGACAATAATAATAAAACGATGTGTTATAATTCAATTTAAATATTCTATTGTTCTCTTTTATTGTAAAGGTTGATGGTGGTGGTGGGGGGGGGGTCTTATGGTGAAAGTTGGCTTTGAGATCGAAAGTTTAATCTTTGCAATGGCACGTGCAATAATAACAAAACAGCAGCAGCAGTAACAAAGCAGCAGCAGCAACTAGAACGCATTAGCAGCAACAGCAACTACAACAAGGCAACAACAAAGCAGTAACAGCAGCAACAAGCAGTACCAACAACAAAGCAACAGCAACAACAGCAACATCCACAACAAAGCATCCACAAAAAAAAAAAATATAAAAAAAATCCGAAGATTAATTAAAAATAACCCAAACCTAAGATCGCCAAGTACAGTGAAATCATCACCATTCACTGGCAATTTTAAATTTTTCTTATATTGTAATATGTAATAATATTGTTGCTGGAATTGGAAATGTCGTATTATGATTCTTAATTTAAGGCCCAAGACCTGCCAGTACATTAATCATAGCGTGCCATTAGCTTCCTATGACAACAATCTAAATTCAAAACAAACTTCAGGAAAAAATGCCTTTACAACGTTAATAGTGGCCCCCTTACTAGAAACCACCCTATTTGGAAATTTTCCCATTGGATGAATTCCGTAAACTTGTAAATTATTACAACAGAAGGAAACTGGAACACGCATCTTCATTATATCATTTTACTTACATTGTAACCGATTTATTCAAATATTCACCCAATTACATAATGTTATTGATAATTAACATACTATTATTACATTAATATAGTACAATAGTATAAAGTATTAATTAACAACCTTAAAAACTGGAATATTCAAGTCAAACTTATATAAAAAGTAATAATTAAAGTATCAACACAATTATATTTGAGCACAAACCTTAAATTACGTTTATATGCCTATATCGTAAAAAAGCACAAATACTTCACTCTCGAATAAACAGCCCACAAATATTGGGTGCTTCAAAATATCCTACTTGAAAACAACTTGCAATGCTTAATCCAGAGTACACAGACGTTGCCTAACGTTATGTTTTGTAACATCCGTACGTTCTTAATAGGTTGCATAAAGTTAGATAGATCTATAGAGATGCACATGTTATCACTTTAACACTTGAATAATTTTTAATAAAACACCGCTCTCAAATATGCAGTTCTTGATCGAGCACTGCACTGAAAACTGTCAAAAAAGTGCGCAAGTGCCGATACACGCAAGTTTGATCATTCACGGTACTTACAGAATTCTCAATTATATATAAATAATGACACATTAATTACGTTTGTTTCACCCGAAAAATTGAATGAATTCAGTTATTTACAATGGCCTTGTATTCTTCCACAAATACTATTGGCTTGGCATGGCGCTCTATACAGTTATCAGAATGATTTGATTCACCAAACTTTTTAAATTCTCAGTAAATTGTTTCGTCCGTGTTGCATTAATTTGCACATACTAAAACAATGGACCTCTATGGAGTGTCAATAAAACGTAACAACTGACCAATCAGAACAGTCCCAGGAATATGGGCGTGTCCAACAAACGCACGTGTTTACGTACAATTACTCTATAAACAGCGTCGTCGGTTCTAAGTGAGTTAAACGCAGATGCGATGATTTGCGTCGAGGACAGTCGTGTCGTAGAATGTTAAACATGTTTAATATTTCTCACGATAGCTTAAGACTGTCCCCGACGATAAATCGCGTCGGGCTGCGTCGTACGACGCTGTCTGAGTTGGCCTTTAGCAACAATATCTAAAAGGCAGGGCTCAACAGAAAGGTCCACTGTACTTAATGGACGGAGATTAAAAGTGGTCTAGATAAAGTATGGTACTACAGTACTTGGTCCAAAGATTGGATACAACCAATTTGTGCCCAACTAACCTCAGATAAAAATACTTGATATTTGTTTTTATTAGAATACCAATAAACTTTGGTCAAATAAAACAGTTCTGAATCGCATTGCCACATCCAAATACCACGAGTACCTCTGTCATTTCTCTCTAATGCGAGATGATTGTGTAAACAAGTTGAACAGGAAAATTTAATAACAAGCACCTTTAAATTGATCTCATCTCCAAACTGCGACATAAATTTTGACACTGCATATATTCATATTTAAAACTACTAATACCTGTGTAATTTTGAGCTAATTACTACAAAAGTTCAAACCAACAACATTATATTTCAGATACTATCACTTTCTTATACAACCTCATATGTTATCTTAACAATGCATAATTTCACTAGTTGTCATACCGAACTCAGAACCTACATTTATTTACCTGAGGAATAATATAAACAATCTGAGATCACCCACGAGTTGCTCCGATGCAATGTTTTCATATTCAACTTTGATTTAAACCTCAACACATTTCAACAAATTGTGATATAAGATCAATTTCCATGAAAGATTACATTTCATAAAGTCAAAATCAAACATTTAATGGCAAATTCATAGATGCCTCAATTGCTGTTTAATTTCTGGACAAACCATGACATGGTTAAAAGAAAAGAAAAAAAAGAAAAGAAAATCCAATCTAAATTTTTGCATTTCACTAACAACAGTTTTCATGAATCAGCCAGCAGTTGACAATCAAATCAATCAAAACAAGAAATCATATTGGAGTAATTAATAACAAACACACACAATGAAAGTCAAAAGCTGAAAAATAAGGTTTTAAAACCTAAACAGTAAGACTATAATGAATACAAAGTATGTAACCAATTTTTTTTAAGTCAATCCTCTCTGCAAAACAGGAGGAAAAATCTTTAAATCCTGCGACATAGAAAAATAAAGAGCTTTTCATTTACGCAACAAAGTAACACTAGAACAGATTCACTTTATCCACGACCATCTTACACTCTCTGCACAACGTAGATTCATGGCAAACTGCATCCAAAAATCCAGACGACAATGAGAACTCAAGGTTCTCGCATGCACATGCAAGTTTTTCGCTGCAGTGAAATCAGTAGTTCAAACTGTTTTACTTTTTGCGATGCAAAAAAATGTGCAACCAATTTAGAGCTCAGGAAGAGAACCAACACTTCTGATTTGCGAATAAATTCGCCTAGTGGAAAAAAGGCTTTAGTGACGTCATTACGTGCCGTCGTGCATTCGAAAGCTTCCTGTTATCAAACATGGGCCGTGGCTAAACCATCTACAGTGTACCCATCAAAAATCTTCCCTGAATCTGGGACCTATTGCCAAAAGGAACATGTAGTACTTTTGCGTACCTCATTTTTGGCGACTTTAAATACCACTTTACTAAGTAAATTCCTTTTTAAAATAAGGTACAGTATTTAACTTATAAAAATGACAAAGCACTGAGTATTGTAACTCCAAAAATTGACAATTGTGATCCCAACTTCAGCCCATCATGATCTACTAAATTTATCTCTGCACTGTAAATATTGTCTGCCAATGTTTATTTTGATGTGACCACCTGTGTTGTTACCTTTGAGCCTGGAAAAGTATACCCAGTCAGGATCTGCTCTAGTACCAACGTAGAAGTATATAATTGATTCTACTGTATGTTTCAATATTTCTTTTATTATCGTTAGAAACTATTTGTTTGCATTTTGTTTTTGAATTTGTTTTTTTACCTTGTTTGTTTTAACCTTGGAGTGACCAGCATCTTTTTTTTACTTTTGCAAGATGTAAGGACATAAACACTGTTGTACAATAAATTTCTATATATAACATTAATTAGAGCTCCACAACATACTACTTCTGAGTAACCCTGTGGGTTACAGACATACCAAAAATATGACTAATTTTCATAAAACTTAAAAATCTCCCTAATTACAGCATAAAAATGATTAACATATTTTTCACCCTATTCAAATTAGTATAACTTACAATCTCCTCATAATTTTAACATCAGTTAAAACATGGAGGTATAATATTAATACCCCTATTATTATTATTATTATTATTATTATTATTATTAATTACTATACCTCCATGGTCAAAGATTCCCCTGTAATTGAGGACTTTAGGAATGGTTAAATTACACTCAAGGAACTATGAATATTGCTTAATACTCTACCGATCACGCTGTTCAACTTTTTCAAGAGAAAATACATAGATATTGAAGTGATCTGCTAACTGGGATACCTAAAAATAGAAACAGAAATTTAAATTGAGATCAAGATTTTTTAAACCAATTTATAGTGTCATGTTAATAAAGTTGTAATTGAAAATTTTAAATTACTTTTTAGCTAGACTTGCCACAATTCTCTAATTTATTGACATTTTGTAGTGTTAAATAATTTTGGAGAGTGCCACCAGTGTCTGTTTTTGTTATGGAGCTGAATTTGGATGGGAATCAGAGAAAAAGCATAGTATGGAACGCCTTGCAAATAAGTAATATGGAACGCCATTTAGAGATTGGAACCTAGTCTACTTTTTACCCAACAGAGTGCAGGAATAACCACTGCCAGATCTAGGAATTCAAAATATAGGGGGCCCAGAGGAGACTTTCACAGATGGGGGTCTAAGACCACCTCAGCCCCATTATGATTGGGGCTTAGGTAATAAAATTTATGATTATGGCACCTCTAGATGGCTGGAAATGGCACTATCAGACTTTCCCCCCACATGGTTTGAATCCGCCACGGATAACTAAATGTTTCATAATCCGTAGTACCACAAAGATAAAAAGTTATGATACTATGTGTTTAGAGTATTATTAATATCTAGAGTTAAGCGACTCATATTTGGGCATCTGCTATTGTAAGTATGCAGTACTTACCACACAACTAGCATAATGTACTTGAGCAACGATGCTTACAGTACATAGTGCAAATAAACAGTAGGCTTCAACTTTGCTATCGTCGTAGAGGAAACTTGTAAGCACACAGGCAGCTAATGGAATGAGCAGCAAATTAAACTTATTGCATAATGTATCCGACATCTGGCTAATTATCAAACGACACTAGAAAGAGAAACATTAAATACATTTTTAATAATTACTAAAATTATTAAAAGTTTCTATTACAATATTTATTCCAATAAACCCTCCTGGGTCGCTTACTGTTCAAAAGGGTTTTTGAAGAGGCATTTATCCAAGGGAGACGTGTATTCGAGGGAGGGACTTATTTATTTTTGGTGTCAATGAATGTAGTGTAGTGGCCTGCGTCAGTCACTTATGACTATGCAGAAAGCACAAAAATCATACTGTACAATGATGTCATAAAGGAAAGATTAAGAGGAAGTTCATCATCATCAATATAGCTCATAATCATCATTTGATCTTCTTTCTTTGCAACCCCTCATGTGACTGTGGAGTCCAATTCTTGATTTGCATTTCCTTTTACAATTTGGATATTCATTCAATTCATATGAAATGTATTTTTGGTGTCAATGAATATGTATACACTTAAATAAATGCCCCCTAATTTCACTGCAAATGTGGAACTACACCACATAATTACCATCAAAATGTGTTAATGTGTCATCATAAAGACAATCAGGTTAAAAAAAAAAGAATTCTACTTGAGTACAACATTAATAGAATGATGATGTTTCCATTATACATGTTTAGTGTCGTTTATTCAAGGAAAAATATAACAGCCTGGGCATTTATTCCGAATTAGGCTCTATAAGGGGTGTCTATTCTAAAGGGGCGTCGCAATATTATCACCGGTCATTGGATTAAGCACATATGGAACACATATTCAGCTCCCTGGTGAGAATTCAATAATTTTGAAGCTGTATAAATGCATTTTGTCTTTGAACCTACCAGGTACCCACTTGTGGGTGGAGAGAAGTAACCGTAGGTAAAGTGCCTTGCTAAAGGACACAACCAAAATGCACAGCGAGGGATTGAACCGCCGACCTTAAGGTTGAGAAGCAGAACCACAACTGTCTACATTAGCATTCATAACTACATCATCATCATCATCATAATTACCACCACCATCATCATTGTTATCATCATCACAATCATCATCATAATCATAATCATCATTGTCAATCTATTCATATTGAGGTCATGAATTTGTGGAAATATACACATTTTGAATGGAATTGAATAAACCCCAAGTATTTTCATTTTCTTCAAGTAATGATCTCATCCACTTTTTCTTCAATTCAATATCATCTTTAATCAAACCAGTCACTTGTCGTCGCAAAAAAGAAATTTTTAGTTATTACTACAGGGTTATTCAGTAACAATAGAGCTATAAAATGGTAAAAGCATCATTAAAATCCGACATTTTGTTATGAAGTTACAGGAGTAAAGCTGTTTAAAGAACAATATTTGAGAAATCTGCCTTCAAAGTTTATGATTGTGGGCATTTCTCAGGCAGAAACCATCAAAAAATCGTTAAAAACTGTTGTTTTAAAATTTTAGGAAAATAACAGCATAGCATGATATATAGTTATATAAAGGTTAGTTTAGTGTAATAAAATAGATTTCAAAACTTTTGACATTCCAGCATGTTTCGTTCACAATCTCTGAGACAGGATTTGCGATGAGTGATGAGTTTAGCTTGCCTTTGCCAGAATTTATAACATTTTCATCATTTTTATCATCCTTATCCATTCCACATTCTCTGCCTCATCATCATTCATATACCATTCTCGTCTTCTCCATCATCATCACCATCTTCATCATCATCGTCATCATCATCACCAATTCAACATCCTCATCGTCCTCATCATCCACCAACCTACTTTTCATCATCATCATTATAATCGTCCTCATCATCATCAAATTCATATTCGCCTCCACATCATTTTATTTCCTTTATTATTTTGAGTTCAACATTCTAACCCACAACTTCATGGCTTAACATCCTCTTCAATCCAATATTTTTATCACCTTCAATTCAGTATTATAGTCACCACTATCAACTTGTAATGTCTTTTCTATAACTTACTGCAATATTTGAATTAATGGTACCAATTGCTAAACAGAATATCCTTGGGTGGAGGTGCAGTATATCAGCTGGTGACATGAACGCCCAGATCACGGATAAAACAAACAGAATAAGAAGTGGATATAGTGGTTCCATGGCTTGGATATATGGTCGCATTTTACCAGTTCCATCCTTGTATCCCCTAGAATTTGGGTAGGAAAAAACAAGGACTTTATTCCACCAATATAAAATGTTTTATACTAAAATTGCTTCAATTTAAAAGAATAATTCTGATATGTAATTTGATTTGAACAGTTAAAATGATGGAGGTGTTACATTGTTTACAATAAAAAAAAAACCAGTTTTGTTTAAATATGTCTGTATTTTATATTTACAAAATCCCTTCACTTTGTGTCTAGTAAAATCCTGAAAAAACACTTAAACTACACATTGAATTACTCAATTAAAAAGAGCAAAAGTATCAAACTTCTGACAAGATTGAAACAATACATTTTTCACTGATTTACAGACCTCATTACATTTTTTACCAGTCTATTTAAAATTCCATGCAAAGAATATAGGAATGGTATTTTGTCTGTTTTTATTTATTATTTATAGGATTTATGTAGCGCACATATCCAGAAAACTACCCAAGGCACTTTTTTTTCTGGTCATTGGATACAGAATCAATCACACACAATGTGCAACTTCCCCGCTCTCTCGGGAGTATTCCTAGTTATGCGTGTAATCAGCACTACTAATTTCATTCCGGATCATTCACCTCCTACCAGGTACCCATTTATACTCCTGCGTGAACAGAGGCAAATGCAGATAAGTGTCCTCCCAAGAACGCAAGCAGTGTGACGAGCATTGGTCTTGAACCCCCGACCTTCCGATTGAAAGTCCAATGCCTTACACACTTACGCCGCACGCTTCAACACATGCTGTTAACTTACGAGATAAATAATAGCTCCATACAGGGAGCATTTCCTTTAGAACATCATTAAAACAAAGAAAATCATCCTACCTGTATACATTATAAACGCTTTGAGGTACTGACAGTCCAGCAGAACCAACTAGGAAAGAATAATAATTAAAAAGATTACTGACTGTACAGTATCCCAACTCAAAGAGATAAAATTCTGCTTGCAGGGGTCCCACGTTGAAAAAAATCCCTTCCAGGAAATCTGGTTAAATGAACTTTCTTTATAGTATATTTAATTTAATTTTACTGGGCGTGGTGATACCCATCGGCACTGACTTCCAGGAAACAATGGGTCAAGAGTGTAAACATTGAGCAAACCACTGGTGTAAGCATTTCACATCATAGTTATGTAAGAAAGACTGTTACAAAAGTCAACCTTACAATTTTAAATTTAAAAAATTGTATGTTTATGTTATAATTGTCAATAGCAATAATCATAATTTATGTGTGAGTTGAATTCTCGTAAATAGTTGAAGGACTTATTTTCAATGTAATTTTGTACTTTCTTATAACAAATATATAATAAAAAATAAAAAAATAAAATAAATTACTACTATTGAAGCCTGTCTTACAAGAACTGCTAATTTTGCTGTTTACTTTTATCAAAGTTTTGATGTGTGTGATTGTGATGTGCTATGATTATTTCCTGTTCCTTGTTTGTTTTATGCGTTTTATCTGATGTTAAATCCAAGCCGTGAATTGGAATCGAGATCGAGTATAGAGAAGCAGTGAACACGGTATCCAGGCCGCTCGACGGATGTGATGTATGTCGACACTTACACATACAGCCTAAATTTATACCGCCATTTTTAAATTTCTCTGACTGGCTTGATTTTTTAAACGCCATATCTGAAAGCTCCCGGTTTTAACACGCATATGTTTGACAGATATGGAACACGTTGGAAGGGTAACAAATGTATTTTTATTTTCCATTAATGTTGGACGTTCAAGTTTTCAAAGAAGTGGATGGCTTCTGATTATTGGGTGATATCCACCCATGCCCAGGCCCCAGGACACAAGTATCCGTGCGTTGTTGGCCATAAAGCAATTATCAGAACTAGCCGAGCAATATCATGCAATAGTTGTGAAGATTGGACCCAAACAAAATGTACAGAATTTTCATGTAGCAATTATGATCAGCTTGTTAAGTCAAGTGAGGAATTCGCATATGAATGCCAAAAATTCTTACTAAAAGCAACTTCTATTTTGGTGCATCTTGGATGATGAAGATTGCTACGATAATCAAATAAATGGTCTAACAAGGGTTAAGGCTGAAGCAAATATGCTACATGAAGAACTTTTGAAGCATTGTGGATAGATGTTATTCTTCCCAAAACAGAGCCCGGATTATTATCAGTGTGTTACAAGCTCCCCCCTATAGATGTGTATAAGAGACAGTCCTCAAACAAAGCAATTTTTTAAAGATGCTAGAGGACTTATTGAACAATAGTAAAATTTCAGGACGAAAAATCATTATATTCGGAGATTTTGATGTAAATGTTTCAGGAAAAGTTTCTGATGTAAACATTGTTAAACCATTGGGGGACGTGTGTGGCCTTTATACTCAACTAGTGTGTCAGCTCACAAGAATTACAAATTCTAGCTCTACGGCGATTGAGTTCATATTCTCGTCTGATCCTATGAAAGTGTATCAATCTGGGGTAATACTAATAGTTTAGTGATCATTTCATGACCTTCGTTTGTAGGAAAAATATTAAAGATTTATTGTCCCATGCAAAATACCACAAAAAATTTACTTCCCCATTTTGAAGTAAATAAAAGTTTTCAGCTTCAACATAGAAATGAGTGTATTTAAAAAAATGTTTATCCATCAGTTTGCAGCGAAAAATGATAGAAACACTTCCAGTGACTGGAAGTGTTTTATTACTTTTATTATAAATTTATGGTTTCAAAATCAGGGTGTACATTTTTTAAATTTAATAATTTCTATGCTTAAGTTAATCATTTGTATGTTACTGCAAAATGAGCAAATTAATTTCAAAATTATTTTTTATGATTTTTTGACATTAGCAAGGGATAATACATCTTTAAGACACCCATCAGAAGGCATAAATTTATCACTATTAGATCTATGAAAAACTATTCTAGTGAAATATTTCTAAACATAATAAATGATGTACAATGTTCCGAAATTTTAAAAAAATGATAATATTAAAGATGATTGGGTTAACTTTAAAACTAAAAAACTATTGAAATAATTAATGATGTTGCTCCTTTGAGAAAGGTGAGAATAAAGCAAAGATCCCAACCTTGGTTTAGTATGGATCTCAGAAATTTAATTAACAAACGTGAGAAAATTCTACAAATATATAAATGTACAAAAAAAAAGGGGACCTTTATATAGAATTTGAAAGGTGTAGAAATAATCTAATTATCAAAAAAAAAGAAAGCTAAGGCTAATTATTAGTATTACTCACAACAATGGACGGAGAACAGTGACAAACCAAAAAAATGTGGCGATTGCTTAAAGATCTAGGTGCTGGTAAAACAAAGAAAATTTATAATAGTAATAGTATACTGTACTGTAGGTTTAAAAATAAGAGAAGACGTAGTATTATGATAAAAAGCTAGTTGCCTATACTTTTAATAAGTATTTTACAAGCATTGTGAGCGCTGTGGATAGTAAACTTTAACCTGTAGGTAAATATGATAATGCTCATGTTATTGAATTTTATGAAAATAAAAATGTACTTAATGAATTTTACTTTCAGGAGACTGATGAAGATAAAATAATGTTTTAAAAATTTTAACAGATTTAAAAATAAATGAAGCTACTGGTCTCGATCAGGTCTGTCAGATTGCAACCCTTAACTAAAATTATTAACTTGTCCATTAGGTCGGGTCATGAAGCCAATGAGTGAAAAAGACCATCATTTTCGACAGACTCATGCCTGATTCACTTGTTGGACCACATAAAGAAAGAATGGGACTGTGGCAACTCTACTGGTATGGTGGTTTTATACCTAATGAAAGCGTTCACACAGTGAATCATGGTATTTTATTGGGAAAGTTGAAAGCGATTGGTCTGGCTGATCAGACAGTCTTATGGTTTGACTCTTATCTTAGGGATTGGAATCAAATAGTTGATATTTATGGTTCATTTTCAAATGTATCTAAAATCATTCATGGAGTCCCCTAAGGGTCACTTTTGGGCCCCGCCCTTTTTTCTAACATACATTAACTATATGGTATCTGCTACTACTTGTAAATTATTGCTCTACGCGGATGATTCAGCTCTGGTAGTTTCTCTGGTGTTATAATTATAACACAAGATTTGCAATTTTTTTAATTTTTAGAGATAAACTAGGTAATAATTGTAAATCCACTTTTCTGTCTACAATTAGCCTTTGGAACTTGCTACCTTATCAAATTTCGGAAATTAATAGTATATCAATCTTAAAAAAGAATTAAGTTACATCTGTATTTAATACCATGACTGTCAAATAATAAAAATATATATTTTTTGTGTTTGTGTTAATTATTGTTTCAGGGACCACAATGGAAATAAGTCGGCCGTTTGGCTACTTTATTGTGTTTTGTTATCCCAGAATTCTGTTATGTTATTATATTTATTGTATTTTGTGGTTGAATGTGAATTCTAAATAAAAAAAAACAAAACAAACAAATGCACAAATAAAGTCACTTTTAACTTACATATCACAGCTGGAACGATGACTGTTCTCCATTCATATCCGAAAATGGTCCCTTTCCAAAATTCGTAACCACAAATGCCTGTCACGAAGTACACAGCTGCAAGGGACTGGAGGGAAAGAGCCACAAAAACAAATTATTACCAGATTTGATCTCGTCACTTCAGACAAGTTAGGTGATCCGCTGCACATCTGAATTTTGACCCTCAAGGAGTGCGCGCGGCAGATATTGAAACATTTATTAATGCTCAAAATGGCACAAAACGTGCTTTAATTCAGTTTAAAAAAGTAATCTTGAGCATGTTAAAAGTTTTATGCACTCGTACATGCACATTATGATATGCTTGCACACGGTAATGGCACAAAAAGTTGACTCCTGATATGAGATATACTGCACATGTGTCAACTCTCATTGAAAATGCCTGTTGGTGAGGGATTAATTATCAACTCACATGCTTTCAAATATGTAATACAAATTGGGGGTCACTGTTTATCCTAGGAGCTATAACTAATTAAAAATAGGCATGAGTTTGAGCATTTAAAATTTTAACGCACACATAATGGTGTGCGCATGGCAAATTAAGGTACATGACATTTAAACTTGACCTGAAGTTTATGCCTACCGATCAAGGAAAGCGAGAGACCCTCAAATGCATATAAAAATAATGATGTCATAGATAAAAATCAGTTTAATTAATTCAAATGGTAATATGGTAACGCCACAATGTCCAATCAGCCATTATGATCTATAAAATCATATCTACGACTCATGTGCTTTCAGAATATGCAATAAAAATTGGGGGTCACCGTTCATCCTAAAGAGCTATAACTGATTAAAAATAGACATGACTAATGGCATATTTTTACTGTATGTCGACGCAAACGTGTGCAAGGATACATATGTTTGATGTGCTCGTACGCCACTGCTACTGGCCCTAATATGACTGAAAAAATGTAAATAGGTGCCAATGTAAAGAACCCAAAATTTCAGGCTCCTCGCTAGATCTGCCCCTGCTTTTACATGAATAAGTGTTGGAATATAAATTTAAGTTTCTCCAAAATTACTGTATTAAAGTTTTACTGTAGTGTATTGCACATTCATCCATTTTCCAAATTTCTTCATCCGAGACTCATTGCTACACACTTACCAGCTGACTAACATCATATCCCCATGGAAGAAACAACACACCTGTGTTGTACTTCTCCCAGTGAGAAATCGTGAACACGCCGACGATATTCCACAAGACCCAGAAAAGGACGTGCACATCGCGTCCGTAGTCCTCCTCGCTGCGGCTGAAGCAGGAGTAAAGTTCAATTGCCATTAACGCTGCGACCCAGCTGTCGATACCGTGATCGAACAGCTCCCCCAGCGGCGTACTTGAATTGGTCCTTCTAGCTTGCTTACCATCCATACCATCTTAATTTGTGGAGAAAATCAATTAGGAAAATATTAACAAAATTTTATAGCAAGTAGGCAAAGTGTTGTAGAGGGTTGCAAGGGAGACTTCTTTTTTCATAAAAAAAAATAAAAATTAGAAACAATAATATTACCATTAAGTAAATAATGCAGGATAAAATTTATTTGAAAAATTGAAAATGACTTTGTATTGAGGACCTAATGATTTTGATAACAGATATTGATTAAAAAATAATGTGGAATAAAATTTATTTGAAAACTGAAAATAACTGTGTATTGCGGACCTAATTATTTTGAAAACAGATACTGATTAAAAAAATATATCGTGAAAGTACACATATACAGTAGAAAATACTCTCCCAGGGAACTGAGTTTGTGTTCCATAGGTATTCAATTTAATGATGTAATGATAATGCGAAGCAAATAGAGGGCTTACCATAATGTGCTATATAACTCTACTATTATTATTGTTATTATTATTATATTATACTTCTCATTCAGTGAAATTTAATTCACTGGGTTCAGAGGTGGGGCTGTCTGGAAAGTTTGCTCAGCCAGTTTAGGGATGCTCTCTACCCTCAACCTCTGGTCCTTTATCACTGCAAATTGGTTTGACAAGCTACTTTAATTTTCTTTTTCCTGGGTCATGCGACTTTTAGGGCATGCGTCTGACATTAGGGAGTTTTGATTTGCGCGACGACGCAAACACTGAACAGAATCACTCATGTGTGACTGTCCTTAGCTACCAGGCTAGGCACCCTACGTTCTCTGCAATATGTAGATTTGGCGTCCTAGAATCCACGCGACGTGAAATTAATGTTCTCACATGTGCAGATGTCTTTTAGTCGCATCATTACGTATACGTCCTACAATCATCGTGCAATCAAAAGCTCCCTGGTGTTAGGACTTGCTAGTGACACTTACCAAGCTGATGGGCCACAAATTGACAGACTCCACAGGTTAGCCAGATGATGTTTGGCACTGGAGGGTATGCTGGGTGTAGCCTGCTGCTGGCATAGTAATCCCAGTCATAGTATGACAGAAGCAGGAAGTTCAAAACCAGAAGCAGACACCCACAGAATGTCATCAGATTTGGAGCCAGCCACCTAGGGAATATCTGTACACCGAGGAGAATACACAAATCAAAACTGTTAGTTAAATGTTTGTAGACTTAGTAAATTGACAATAGTGAACCTAATCACTGTTTTCCTTTTTCACTTTGAAATCCCAAAAGTGGCAAATATTTTAACAAGAAAAATCTAAATAAGTCTTATTATGAGTGTTAAGGAGTGGATTTTTTCCTTTTTTTTTTGTGGTTGATATAAAAAAAATCCTGTAACATTGACAAGAATTGAAGCCAGGAACCTGGGAGAGGCTACAGCTCCACTTCATAATAAAATATATAAGCTTCCAGGGGTCCCAAGTTGGAAGAATCCATATCGACGAGACCTTGTTAAATGAGCTTTCTTAACACATCTAATTATATTTTCTGTGCATGAAGATACAGTACCCATTGGCACTGACATCTGGGAGACAATTGATGATAGTACATGTATAGAAAAAATTTGTAAAAACATGCAAATATCGTGAATTTACAGCAGATGTTTTTTTCCCGAGAGGTTCTTGTTTGCTTGCAGGAGTCCAATTCCAGGTGACTCCCCGAACTTGCGGGAGACTTGTGCCCCTGAGCTTCTCGATAAACCAACTTTATGAGAATTTTGCCCCAATCAACCACACTGGTAAAATAGATTTAAAGAAAGTCTTTAAAAATCTTTACTGTTGACACTACTGTTTTGATTTCAATTCAATTTTTTGATTTTTTTTTTGTGTTTGCTTGTTTATTGCTAATTGTATTTTCTTGGTCTTCACATTTTCATATTAAGCTGCCTTTAAATCTCTAACCTAAGACACCAATGGAAATAAATTATCTTCTAATTTTATTACTGTCCTTCCATCTATTCTTTGTCCATATTTTTTAGAAAATATGTACCATTCATCTTGTACCAGTTTCTTTTTGTAGTTTTGATGTTCACATCCAATTTTACTGTTTCTTTTTCTATTTTTGATATTGACATAATTTTCATTTTGATGCTTTTTTTTAATTGTTATAGAAAATTAATGGATGCTAACTAGAGAAATCAAAGAATAAATAAAATAAAATAATTAATACCTTTACACACGTATTCCAGAAGGGATGCATGATGTAAATCGAAATTGGTGATGTATCAACTGCATTGTACTGAAAATATAAAGTTAAAATATAAGAACATTAAAAATAAATAAAAACATATTTATACAAATGGGAAAAAGGTAACCTATCAGTATCAAAAAATTATTTATTACTGTACTGTCTTTTTTACCTAGACTTATTTGAAACAATGAATCATCCTGCTAACAACCCCACCCCTAGGATATTTTCGCTGAGAGCCGCTTAGCTCACTAGGTTAAACTGGTGGTAGCCACTGTGTGTGCGCTGAACTGTGGAGATTTCTAGGTCCTCGGTTCAATTCCCATCGCTGCCTCTCCTTGTGTTTCAGCTAGAGAGCTGAAATGCAAGTTACAATATTTAGCGCACCGTCTTTCGGATGAGACGTTTAAGCTGTCGGACCCGTGTGCATTATGCCCTGTGTGCATAAGAACGTTAAAGAACGCTGTACACTATTTAGAAAAGAGTAGGGGATTGTCTCCCGGTGTACTGCTCAATCACCACCAGAAGGACCCCACTGGAAATAAGTCTTCTTCAAACTTTTGTTGGTTATCCTTTGCACGATTGAAATAATTTTACAGTATGTTGAAATTTTCAAAACTCACCAAGTGCAAATTTACAAAGAACTCTCCATCGTAGTTGAATTAACCAGGTCTGGTAAAATTATTATATGGTGGTGGTGTGATTTTATTAATTATCAATTATATGTATAAGCATCAGGAAAATGAATTTTACTTGTAAGAACTTTTCTATGAGTGACAATATAAGAATCTTGTATCTTCTTCCTTTCACAGGGCCAGCACAACGTCCTGAGTTATATGAGGTAAGGAATGAGCAAAAAATGAACGCTTCACTATTTAGAAAAGAGTAGGGGATTGTCTCCCGGTGTACTGCTCAATCACCACCAGAAGGACCCCACTGGAAATAAGTCTTCTTCAAACTTTTGTTGGTTATCCTTTGTGTTCACACCGAATAAATCCAATCCAATTTAATGTCGCACAAATTACCGACAGCACAAAAATGCATAACATGCATGTTTGTTTGTAGGAACATTCCTCCATTGTTTTAGAAACATGATGTTTTCCATGCCCTGTTCTGATTAGTCAGTTGTTAAGTTCGATACACAGTGATAAAATATTGTTAAGTAAACAAAATGCATTGTGTGTGATCAAAATGCATATCAAATGATATGATTGGTTGTCAGGGTGTGAAGTTTTACTGTAAATTTGCATTGACAGTATGTGATAAAAGATTTAGGTACTCAATAGTGAGATAACTCCAGGTATGGACTTTACTTTATGGTATCGACTCTTCATAATAAAAGCTGATGTCCATACAGAGCAGGCCGATTGGATACTAATTAAATTAATTTTTCAAATCAAACAAACATTTTTATATCGTGTATCTAAAGAGTTGGAATGAACTTCTAAACAATGAAGAAAAAATTAATTTTAAATAAATAGCATAATAGTTTCATTCTAAAATTCTAATAATTCATAAGTTTTTTTACATTTAATTTTCTTTTCGTTTGCCTTTGTTTTGTGTGTTGTCTTCTGCTTTCTATTTTGATGGTTTTTTGATATCTGTAACTGTCTAGAGGCCTGGCCTAGGCCTAATTTGTTTGAAAACAAGGCAAGAGTTTGAAGAAAGAATAATAAAATAGAATAGAAGAAAAAAATAACAACAAATTATAATATCTTTAAAATATGAAATATATACACAGCCTGAGCCTTTTCTGTTACTCTATTACTATCAGTATTTTGCAATCACGTGCTGTACGTCTTACTAAATTGGCTTCGCCATGGCAGCTATGACCTAGGACCTAGAGGGCCTGACTACCTAGGAAGCCTAGGCATATTATAGCGCCCTAGGCCTGGACTTGACTTTGGGCCTAGCTAGGCTAGCTACGCCCCTACCCTAGGTTAGCCTATTCTATGCTAGCCCTAGCCCTAAAGCCTACATTATATCAGGTTGAGGCTTGACCTAAGTATTTAAAAAATTAGAGAATAAAATTTACTTACTTTGTATTTATCAAACCCATCAAGATGGTCTTTTCCCAAATACTTGTAAGCCATGTTGATAAAAAAAGGCAGCTCATCAACCCCGTCCGGTCCCTTGAAAAAATTCAACAAAAACACCACCGGTCGACTCTTGACCTAAATTTAACTGTAGCGCCCTGGTGCACATACTACGTCGTCGCGTCGACAGCTGACGGGGCATGACGCGTCGAATGAGTTGACAGAATGTACTCCTTACTTTCCCCCATCCACCACCCCCAGATATTTTTAGATACAAAAAGAAGATACATTTGTAGCGGTCATTTCGGGAATTTCAAATTAAAATATATAAACATAATTGTTTTACATACAGTATCTCATTTTGATGTGAATTCCATGGTAGGCCTAGCCTATATTAAAAAAAAAAAAAAAGGTTATACATGTAGAGTATATTAATACTGTAATACTAAAAGTAAACAATTTACAAAAGTTGAATTATTATTTTATTAATTCCATGTATACTGTACTGCATAAAATGCTGATAAATCTGCATTTGTCATAAAAAGTACATTTTTATTAAACATTTCCAAACTGGAAATTGGCCTAGTATTTTTTGTTGTTTTGTATTCTATTTCTAGAATCAGCCCTTTATAGAAATGTATTTTTTTTAATTACTCATGTCTTTTTCATGAAAACAAATTGTAAGTTACTGTATAATGAGATATAATCGAACACTGAAGGTCTCTGTCGTTGTTGACGCGAGTTAACGCAAGTTGATGTACCCAACCAACAAACAGGATACTTTTCAATTTGTGGTTTTGTTGACGATGTGATTCATGATCACGTCCTAGGCCTACAGAATTTCATTCTTCATTGAACTATTATAGTTTAGTTCGAAGTAAGCTTTGCATATGTTTCACAGTAAGCATCTGTCAAAACGATGTCAGTGTTTACAGGTGTTAGCCCAAACCCAATGAACCAAGGTAAATGACCATACATTTCACTCTTTCCAGCAAGGTTTAGACAGGCCTTTGTTTACTGGTGGTGGTGGTGGTGGTAAGAATCTTTTTAGGCCTCCTGGAACTAGGGTAGCCTGCTTATGTCTAGCTAGGAGTATCCCCTAGGCCTACACTTATATACCCTATGCCAGCCTAGGCACCATACTATCTATAGGCCTTCGGCCTAAGTCTAGATAAGGGGTCATTCAAGTATTATGTAACGCAGAGAGAGGGGGATGGGGGTATAGGCCCTAGTGGAAAAAGTTACAGTGTGTGACATAGGGTTGGGGGCGGGGGTGTTGCTTGAAGTTTAAAAAAAAAAAAATTAATTTTCATGGGAAGAGAAGAAATATTAAATATTCAAACTTGTATGATATTACTTTATTGAAACATATTACATCAGTGTAATACAATGTAATGTAACACAATTTGTGAAATCAATAAACAATGAAGTTACCTTACCTTATCAAAAAATAACAAAACACCCTACAAATTTGTAGTGTAGGACAAATTTGTAGTGGAGGACATTTATCCTGATACTTAATGTTGTTCATCTGATTTTATTAAAATTGTTGCTGTTCGGAAGTGGGGGAGGGGGTGGTTCTAGAG